TTTTCTCTTGCTTTTTTTGTTAGAATTTGGGAACTTTTCAGCACCTCCTAATATATGAGAATAAATACATTTATATCTAGTAATACCAGAAAGTTCAAATTTATGCTTCAGTAAATAATTAAACTTTCACATAAAACCTGTTTTTTTTTTCTCTCTGTTTATCTATCTCAATAGGGTTTCTGAAATAAAAATATAAATAGAAAACTACTTTAAAAACACTTCTCCCTCTGACTTGTCTATAAGAAGCATTAAAAGTCAATGCTTATTCTGTGGTATTAAAATATTTCTGACTCTGGTAAACAAAGAAACTTGTGTTATCATCTATAATATTATTTTCTTGTGATATCCAGGTCCTCTTGAACTGGAATTAGGCTTTCTGACGAATAATCTATACTATTATTCTGCTTATTTGTATGTATGAGCATTATGTTTTTCTACCTAGGATCAGAGTGTAGTATCTGCTTGATCTCCAGTCCTTCTGAATTGCATTTAGTTATACTCCCAACACCTAGAATCTATACTATTATTCTGCTTGTTTGTATGTATGAGCATTATGCTTTTCTACCTAGGATCAGAGTGTAGTATCTGCTTGATCCTTAGTCCTACTGAATGGGAATTAGTTATGCTTTCTGATCAAGAATGTATACTATTATTCTTATTGTTTGTATGTACGACCATTATGCTTTTCTACCAAGGATCAGAGTGTAGTATCTGCTTGAACCTCAGTCCTACTGAATGGGAATTAGTTATGCTTTCTGATCAAGAATGTATACTATTATTCTTCTTGTTTGTATGTACGACCATTATGCTTTTCTACTTAGGATCAGAGTGTAGTATCTGCTTGATCCTTAGTCCTTCTGAATTGCATTTAGTTATGCTTACTGACTGTGAATCTATACTATTATTCTTCTTGTTTGTATGTACGACCATTATGCTTTTCTAACTAGGATCAGAGTGTAGTATCTGCTTGATCTCCAGTCATTCTGAATTGGAATTAGTTATGCTTACTGATTGGGAATCTATTACTGCATATTTTTATGCATGATTGCTTGTTTTTTTTTTGTTTTTTTTTTTTTACCTTGGTTCACTGTGTAGAATCGTATCTTCCCGAGACATTGAAAAGCAGGTAGGAATAGAATGTCTAAAAATTACTGTTAAAATGTTAACCTTAGAACACTAACCATCAATTAAAGTTACACCATTACTAACCATGGGTAGATCATGCCTGATTTTGAAAAATATCAAAAAAAAATATTAAATATAAATCTATATTTGAAATATTTTACATGCAGGCACTTCAAACTTTGTACTTTGAGTTAACATTAATAGGAACTGAAAAACATTATTTAGGTAAGAACACCAGATACTGAAAATTGTAATTAAAAATAGGAAAATTTGTGCTGGTTAGTGTTCTAGGGTTAATATTCATTATAGCAAGACAAATCCATGAGAGGATTGCCGTAAAACATGTTTGTGGCTTCTGTATACCTATTTGCGGATGAAATTAAGTCTTTGTTTATATCACAAATAAAAACCTAGACAGCAAAAGGTAAAGGAGAAAATGAGAAGATACAGGAAGGAGGGTTGAAAGAAAAGCATAGGAATGCGACAATACAGTCAAAAAAACTTATGGACCATTATTTTCTTATTAGTTTTATTTCAACTTTATATCATTGCTTTTTATCCCAACCCTCTGGCTCTATACACTCTTCATTATTACTATTATTTTATTACTAGTTTTATTCCATCTTATTATTGTTGCTTTTTATCCCAACCCTCTGGCTCTATACACTCTTCATTATTACTATTATTTTATTACTAGTTTTATTCCATCTTATTATTGTTGCATTTTATCCCAACCCTCTGGCTCTATACACTCTTCATTATTACTATTATTTTATTACTAGTTTTATTCCATCTTATTATTGTTGCTTTTTATCCCAACCCTCTGGCTCTATACACTCTTCATTATTACTATTATTTTATTACTAGTTTTATTCCATCTTATTATTGTTGCTTTTTATCCCAACCCTCTGGCTCTATACACTCTTCATTATTACTATTATTTTATTACTAGTTTTATTCCATCTTATTATTGTTACTTTTTATGCCAACACTCTGGCTCTATACAATCTTCATTATTACTATTGTTTTATTACTAGTTTTATTCCATCTTATTATTGTTGCTTTTTATGCCAACACTCTGGCTCTATACACTCTTCATTATTACTATTATTATTTTATTATTTTATTACATCTTATTGTTGCTTTTGATCCCAACACTCTGGCCACTCTTCATTATTACTATTATTTTATTACTAGTTTTATTCCATCTTATTATTGTTGCTTTTTATCCCAACACTCTGGCTGTATACACTCTTCATTATTACTATTATTTTATTACTAGTGTTATTACATCTTATTGTTGCTTTTGATCCCAACACTGGCTCTGTACACTCTTCATTATTACTATTATTTTATTACTAGTTTTATTCCATCTTATTATTGTTACTTTTTATCCCAACACTCTGGCTCTATACATTCTTCATTATTACTATTATTTTATTACTAGTTTTATTCCATCTTATTATTGTTACTTTTTATGCCAACACTCTGGCTCTATACACTCTTCATTATTACAATTGTTTTATTACTAGTTTTATTCCATCTTCTTATTGTTGGTTTTTATCCCAACACTCTGGCTCTATACACTCGTCATTATTATTATTATTTTATTACTAGTTTTATTCCATCTTATTATTGTTGCTTTTTATGCCAACACTCTGGCTCTATACACTCTTCATTATTACTATTATTTTATTACTAGTTTTATTCCATCTTCTTATTGTTGGTTTTTATCCCAACACTCTGGCTCTATACACTCTTCATTATTACTATTATTTTATTACTAGTTTTATTCTCTCTTATTTTTGTTGCTTTTTTTCCTATATTCTTCTATCACTAGAGGAAGTGGCGCAAGATTCAGAATTAAGATTCTCTCTTCTGATGTGACTTGTATCATGTTTGAAACTGTTGTTTTAGTTTTGTTTTTTCTTGATACATTAATTGAAGATAGTATTGTCTTAATGTTGGGATCCAGTGCCACAATAAAATGCCACAATATGGCTCGGTTTTATTTTTATCATTAGAATAGATCATCTGATGTGTTGAAACAAAAAGAAGAAAGTGTTCAGTCATTTGGACAACTTTTCATAAAATTATTTAAGTTGACATGAAGGTTATTAACTAAAATTTCGCTTAGATTATTTCTTGTTGAGTAGCTAACTAAAACTGGTTTGACTTGTTGGTCTATAATTTAGTTGGTAGAGCAGGTGTTTTATGAATCAAAATGTTTAGAGTACAGTTGTTATTTTTCTCATGGTGTGCATATAAGGACTTCGCCACCAAAATTATTTAATACTAGGTTAGGTACAAGTACTGATAGCACTGTGTAACACGATTTTTGTCCTTGGGTAGCAACTGTTATTTCCTATTTGCTTATGCATAAAAAGCATAAAAAATGGCTAATATTTCCTTCAAACTTTGTTTTTGTGACCAGGATAATGATATTTCTGAAATTTACTTTTTCCCTTTGGGGAAAACTGACAAATGTAAACATTCTTGTTCATGCAAAATAGGAACAAAACGCCGTCTGATACAAAAGTAGCATTTATTTAATTGAGGATTACCCAAGAAAGGCCCCCAAAAATTTAGAAGCGAGTAGTTTTTCATGATTTATGCTTATCCTATTAATTACTTTCATGAATCAACCCCCAAAGATAGTCTCCTGTCATGTTTTCATAGGTACCTCCATGAGATCACTAAAAAAAGAGCATAGCATGACAACTTAAATGTAAAAATCTAAAATAATTAAAGAAATAACAAATAATTGTATTAAAAATTCATTTTATTGTCCATATTCATGAAAACTAAAAGCAAATAAAAGCATTTGAAATTAAATAATATTTTTGTTTTATTGAGTTTTGTATGTTACAATTCAGGGCTAATTTTCAGGTTGAGTGGGTGCAATTAAAAAAAAATAAAACCTGATTTGCTTTCTTCAAAACCTTGTGCTTTTAACTAATATAATCACTAAACTGAACGTGACTGAATTTCTAGAGTTTTCATAAAGTTAGTTGGGGGGGTAATAAATATAAAAAAAATATTTCTGCCATGACTTTAATAAAAAAAAAAAAAATATTTATAATAATTTCCATCCTCTGTGAAATCTGAGAGTTTCATTAACATCCGACAATTATTTTCATTTTTGCAGAGTTTTCCAATTTAATGTGTGTCATACAAAAATAAAACGTGCTAAAAATTGTATATGTTATGTTACTAGTTCCGGTGATACAAAGAGAAACAAAGTTTTTTTAATCAAAATTTAGAATGTTCTAAAAAGAAGGAAAAATTTTCAAAAATAATTAAAAAAAAAAAAACAAAAAAAAAACTTTGGTCTTTCCTCTTAATAATAACAAACATTTAGATGATAAAATTTTGTTTTCGCCAAGTTTGGTGTCTTTTTCATCATGCTATGTTCTTTTTTTAGCGATCTCATAGAGGTACCTAAGTTAGTTATTCTCTCTGTGTCTAATACACGAGTCTCTTCCTCTCTTATATGTAAGGGATAATGTAATAATGTTGTTTTGGGCTGAGAACTTTTCATCCTCTTATTCATTTCTGTTAGTGTCTGTATATAAGGTCTGCACTAATTAACCAGTTGATAATTGGTAATTGATCATATTGACCATTTTGTCAATTCATTGGATATTGGTCGTCTTTGGCTGGATTAATCAGATTTTGTACTTAGTCATATTTGCTTATTACATCACAGGAATTTTCTTCCCTGCCTCACGAATCATTTGGTTATCTTTACAACCAGTTTAAATACTATTCTCAGATTTTTTCCATTCATTTTTTTTTTACAATCTTTATTAAGACTAATTAAAATTTGTCATTATTAAAATTATACCAGAATTTATAAACGTCTCTATTTTCAGAATATAACCCATTTCTTTCAACCCTGTATCTCTCTTCCTCCCCTCTCACTCTACTTCCATCTCGGTCTCTCTCTCGCGCAGTCCTTCCATCCCGGTCTCTCTCTCGCGCTACCCTTCCGTCCCGGTTTCTCTCTCTTATTGATACAAATTTGACTAATTAACCCATAGCTGGGGGAGAAGATTTGGATTCATACCTTTCCCAATGGTATTTGAGCATAAATGATTATAATGAACTCTGTTTACAGATCACCCATCTAGGTGCTGACCAAGCTCGATATTGCTTAATTTTTTTTTCTTTTTTCGTTAGATTTTTTCCTCCTTTTTTTCGTTAGATTTTTTCCTCCTTTTTTTCGTTAGATTTTTTCCTCCTTTTTTTCGTTAGATTTTTTCCTCCTTTTTTTTTTTTTTTTAACGATTGCCTTTGAGTGTTGACTTCAATGTTCTTTATATATATATATATATATATATATATATATATATATATATATATATATACACACACACATCTGTATATACACACATATACATACATACATACACACACACACATATATATATATATATATATATATATATATATATAGGATGTCCCATAATGATGTGACACGTTTTAAATGCAAGTATCTTGAATGATAAAAATTTTAAATGTGAAGAGATGGCAATGATAGGTAAAAAAGATGGTAAGAAGTCAGTTACAAGCGATAGGTAGATGTGGAGAGCTGTGATCACTAATGTCCTGAAAGGTCGACGGGCATAAAAGAAGGAGAAGGTATCTTTTGTTAATACATTTCTCTGCTTTCTGACTGCAAAACTATATTTTAGTTGGTAAATTGTATCGCAGCTCATATTACATTGTGAATTATTTTAAGAAGAAATTATAATTTCTAACAGTCATGACTAAGTTGTTTTTTTTTACCAATGCACTTAATAAACTTTATCTATATTTGACCAATGTTAGGCAAAATTAAATAATCTTTCATCAGTTAGAAACTCCATCATGTTTCTAGAGTTTAAACAAAAACTGTTCTCATGTTTTGTAGTTTCAATATCTTAATTTAGTTTTTAACTTCCTGGGGTCAAAGGGTTAAATTAAGTCCTGACTGACAAGTGAGAGAGAGGCAGGCATACAGAAAGAAAGATAAGAGGGGCAGAAGTGTCATTTATATACAAAAACTTGTAATGGATATCAGTGGAATCTGCAAGGAGTTGAAATTCTGGGTTAGTTTAGTGTGTTCATTTTCACACAAATGCTCTTGAGAAAGGCACAACTCCCCTGTCCTCTTCTCTGCCTCCCTCCCTTGGAGTGGAGTATTGCTGCCACATCTAGGCTGGAGCTACCCAATCCTCACTTTCCAACCTGTGACCTTGTGGGTGATGAATTGTTTTCCACTATACAACCTCTTTCCCTGCAGACAAAATGTTGTGAGTCTCTTGCTACTGTATCACTATTTCCATGGCAGGCAATATCATTCTCATTCCTTTCATATTCCATTAGTGAGGATGGAGGTCTAATAAGACAGCTGCTTCCCCAGAACTGTTGATTTATGGAATGGACCCCGAGGGGATGCCTCCCTGATCACTACATTCTTAACCTCTTCAAGTCTATGGTCAACTATTATTTATCCTACATATCCTTATAATATGCACCTTTTGCTTCCTTTCTGCATGCCTTTACAATAGCCACATTTAGTAGTGCTCTGCCTTGAGTAGCTCTTGGGCCTTGTATTGAACAGTAGTTTAAAAAGTATAAAATAAATGATTAAAGCCTTGAATGCAATGGGAAACCACCTCACTATCTTTCCAAATAATGCATAGTAATTCACAGATAAAGAAAATGAATGTGTGGAGATTCATAAATGCTTACATTTTGAAATGACATAGTATTTAATTAAAGTAAAATATATTAAATAGTAGGGTAGACTGGGCTTGCTAGCATTGGATTTTTAGTCAGTTTAGGGGAAAGGCAATTCTGAATTAAAAAATGTGGAGAAGGTAATGGGGGAAACTATTCCACTATCTTTTCCAAGAAGGCATGGCAGTTTGCAGATAATAGCTGGAGTGAGCCATGATAGATTACACCCTGAAGGGATATGACATGAAGAAATTATTTGAATGCATCATATTTTTTCCTCAAAAACATGGATGTGTTAAACTCCTTTAAAACAGTGAAAATTCAACATTTTCTTTGAATTCTAATCTTCTTCAGGCATTCAGTCACTGCAATTCCATCAAACCTAATTTTCCAGAAAAGAATAATGAAGGATTCTCTCTCTTCTTTCTTCTCTCTCTCTCTCTTTTTCTCTCTCTTCTTTCTTCTCTCTCTCTCTCTTTTTCTCTCTCTTCTTTCTTCTCTCTCTCTCTCTTTTTCTCTCTCTTCTTTTTTTTCTCTCTCTCTTTCTCTCTCTTCTTTCTTCTCTCTCTCTCTTTCTCTCTCTTCTTTCTTCTCTCTCTCTCTCTCTCTTTTTCTCTCTCTTCTTTTTTCTCTCTCTCTCTCTCTTTTTCTCTCTCTTCTTCTTTTTCTCTCTCTCTCTTCTTTTTTCTCTCTCTCTCTTCTTTTTTCTCTCTCTCTTCTTTTTTCTCTCTCTCTTCTTTTTTCTCTCTCTCTTCTTTTTTCTCTCTCTTCTTTTTCTCTCTCTTCTTCTTTTTCTTCTCTCCTTTCTTTCTCTCTTCTTTCTTCTCTCCTTTCTTTTCTTTCTTCTCTCTCTTCTCTCTCTTCTCTCTCTTCTTTCTTCTTTCTTCTCTTTCTTCTTTCTTCTCTCTCTTCTTTCTTCTCTTCTCTTCTTTCTTCTCTTCTCTTCTTTTTTCTCTCTCTCTTCTTTTTTCTCTCTCTCTTCTTTTTTCTCTCTCTCTTCTTTCTTCTCTCTCTCTTCTTTCTTCTCTCTCTTATTTCTTCTCTCCTTTCTTTTCTTTCTTCTCTCTCTTCTTTCTTCTCTCTCTTCTTTTTCTCTCTCTTCTTTCTTCTCTCTCTTCTTTCTTCTCTCTCTTCTTTCTTCTCTCTCTTCTTTCTCTCCTTCTCTCTCTCTCTCCTCTCTCTCTCTCCTCTCTCTCTCTCCTTCTCTCTCTCTCCTTCTCTCTCTCTCTCCTTCTCTCTCTCTCTCTCCTTCTCTCTCTCTCTCTCTCCTTCTCTCTCTCTCTCCTTCTCCCTCACTCATTATTCATAGCAAGGGCTGAAAAATAGATCAAACAAAATACTATTGTCAGCAATAACAAGTATACAAAGAAAAGTTTCAATTTTAAGAAGTTTACATTTCGTTAATTTAATTCTCACAGCTTCTCAAATAGTTGATGTTAAATTACATCTACCATAACTAATGTTTCTGATTGAAGCCTGGTAACCTTGCTTGTATAATGGTTATGATGTAGAAGACCAAAGCTTAAGTTTTGAGCCTTGAACTCAAAAAAGAAAAAAAAAAATGTTGATTGAAAGCATTGTTTGCTTTCTAAAAATATCTTTGTATTTCTTTGTGTTTTCACAAAGCTGAGGATTAAAACTAGAAAGACAATATCTCTGTTGTGATTTTAAAAACAGGAAAAACATCTGCACATAATAGTTCCTTGCATTTGTATGTAACTGTTTATCCCCTTTTTATAGGGCAAAGGTGTATTGTTTGGGATTCGTTAGAAGAATCTGATGGGCAGGTGAATAACTGGGGAAAAAATAGTACGTGAGAACTTCAATAGCTTAAATAAATCTTTATATTTTAAGTAGAAAATGTTAAATCTTTATTTAAATTTATAACTTAAATTTGAAAAAAGTGGTTAATTCTCATATTGAGTCTATCCTCAAGTATCCAAAGGTGTTTAAGTTGTGGGTGGGGGCAATTGAAGGTGGAATTAAACATTTTTGTGAAATTGGTTCATTTTATGACATGTCAGTTGATGTTAGGTTATTTAATTTTGAATTTTGCATGGGACACCTAAGTGATCATGATCAACTAGACTATACTGTTAACCATTACCACATGCCAAGAGGCTTCAAAATGATTTTTACTATGAAAATGCATTGGCCGATGATTTTTACTATGAAAATGCATTGGCCGATGATTTTTACTATGAAAATGCATTGGCCAGTGATTTTTACTATGAAAATGCATTGTCCAATGATTTTTACGATGGAAATGCATTGGCCAGTGATTTTTACTATGAAAATGCATTGGCCAATGATTTTTACGATGGAAATGCATTGGCCAGTGATTTTTACTATGAAAATGCATTGTCCAATGATTTTTACGATGGAAATGCATTGTCCAATGATTTTTACTATGGAAATGCATTGGCCAGTGATTTTTACTATGGAAATGCATTGTCCAATGATTTTTACTATGAAAATGCATTGGCCAGTGATTTTTACTATGGAAATGCATTGTCCAATGATTTTTACTATGAAAATGCATTGGCCAGTGATTTTTACGATGAAATGCATTGTCCAATGATTTTTACGATGGAAATGCATTGGCCAGTGATTTTTACTATGAAAATGCATTGTCCAGTGATTTTTACGATGGAAATGCATTGGCCAGTGATTTTTACTATGAAAATGCATTGGCCAGTGATTTTTACTATGGAAATGCATTGTCCAATGATTTTTTACTATGAAAATGCATTGGCCAGTGATTTTTACTATGAAAATGCATTGTCCAATGATTTTTACTATGAAAATGCATTGTCCAATGATTTTTTTACTATGGAAATGCATTGGCCAGTGATTTTTACTATGGAAATGCATTGTCCAATGATTTTTACTATGGAAATGCATTGTCCAATGATTTTTACTATGGAAATGCATTGTCCAATGATTTTTACTATGGAAATGCATTGGCCAGTGATTTTTACTATGGAAATGCATTGTCCAATGATTTTTACTATGGAAATGCATTGGCCAGTGATTTTTACTATGGAAATGCATTGTCCAATGATTTTTACTATGGAAATGCATTGGAAAGTGATTTTTACTATGGAAATGCATTGTCCAATGATTTTTTGAAAATGCACAGTGATTTTTATATGGAAATGCATTGTCCAATGATTTTTACTATGAAAATGCATTGGCCAGTGATTTTTACTATGGAAATGCATTGTCCAATGATTTTTACGATGGAAATGCATTGGCCAGTGATTTTTACTATGGAAATGCATTGTCCAATGATTTTTACTATGGAAATGCATTGGCCAAATGAAAATAGACTGGAACTATGTTTTCACCATGAAAATGCATTGCCTGTGTTTTTTTGTTAGTTTAATGATTTTACAACATGTTGAATTTTGTATAGAGTACCCAGTGAAAATCAAACTCGCTATACAGTCATAACTGACATAATGAGACAAGCTTGTTAGCCATTACACCATGTTGATTTGCCTTAAGTGTAGCTAGATGTGGTGCAATAAAAATCTTGTCGGTATTAAATAACCCACTGAGGTTGATATGCTGTAAAACAAAATAAACCAGAGAATGTTTCACAAAAGTAACATATTAAGTCTGTGAAATAAACAAATTTCTTTCTCCCTAATTAATGATTTATAATTAATAATTTTAAATTAATAATTTAATTGTTAATTGGTTATATGCAAGATAAAGGCTTACAGCCATATTATTTTGAAACACCATTTCTTGTATGATCACCAAAATTAAGCAATGTTGTGGTTGGCCAATAACTGCATGGATGACCATTTGGTAATACATTTCATAATAATAAAATTATTACCAGCAATACATTTTTGAAAGAAAAAAAAATATTACCAGCAATAAAATTCTTGTCAGCATTAAATAACCCATTGAGGTGTTGATATGCCATAAAACAAACCAAACAATCAGTCATAATTGTTTTAGTGACACAATCTTGCTAACCATTACACCTTGTCAAAGTGCTCAACAGTTTGAGTTTTTTTAAGTTTCTATAAAGGTTGATAAATATATATTTCACAGAGACTAGGGAAATTAGGGAGTCTAGTGGAAGCCGGAAATGAAAAGAATAATAATAAAAAATACTACTGCAGTGGGGAGGAAAAAAAAGTTGGGTCAATTATATCTATCCCTTCATTACTATCATGTGTTTTTTTTTGTTTTTTTAAACCAACCTTTTTTAGCTGTTGTACTGTCTGACCTCCTTTGGGTTTCTGCTATGCTCTGATAAGCACCATAATCAACCAAGCATAGAGATGAACATCATATGGGTGGATTCAGTGAGGTAAAAATAGACGTTAGGTTTAAAGCATCAAAATTACTGATTTCTCTTTGAGACAAAGGACTAGGAAACTATTGCTTGACAATTTAAAATAATTTAAAAGTAACAACCAACTTTAATAATCCTCATTTTGAATTTCCTCCCTACTCTCTTTGAATCTTTTACTTTGCTCTTTACTCTCCTCTTCCTTTTATTTGAAAAAAAAAATGTATTGTTTCCAAAAAATTGTTAGTACAATATTCACTCGCAAAAAATACAATTCTTATAATCAAAAGTAATGTGTTTCAGCTTTAAATAAGCCACAAAGGGTTGATAAGCCTTAAAAAATGAATCCGTCAATCCTTCCTAACTTTTTTTTTAAGGTAGTGTAAAAAGCCAACATTTTAAGGATTATCATCTAGTTGCATTGCTATCCATTTTAGTTGTTGCTGCTGTTGGAACTCTTCAAGTGATTTTTTTTTCCTTCTTTTTTTCCTTCTTTTTTTTTCTTCTTTTTTTTCTTCTTTTTCTTCTTTTTTCTTTTTTTTCTTTTTTTTCTTTTTTTCTTCTTTTTTCTTTTTTTTTTTTTTTTTTCTTTTTATCTTTTTTTCCTTTTTATCTTTTTTTCCTTTTTATCTTTTTTTCCTTTTTATCTTTTTTTCCTCTTTATCTTTTTTTCCTCTTTATCTTTTTTTCCTCTTTATCTTTTTTTCTTTTTTCCTTTTTTTCCTTTCCTTTTTTTCCTTTTCTTTTTTTCATTTTCCTTTCTTTTCCTTTTTTCTTTTGCCTTTTTTCTTTTTCCTTTTTTCTTTTTCCTTTTTTCTTTTTCCTTTTTTTTTCCTTTTTTTCTTTTTTTTTTTTTTTTTTCCTTTTTTTTTTCCTTTTTTCTTTTTTCCTTTTTCTTTTTCCTTTTTCTTTTTTTTTTCCTTTTTTCTTTTTTTTTTTTTTTCTTTTTTTTTTTTTCCTTTTTTTTCCTTTTTCCTTTTTTTTTTTTCTCCTTTTTCCTTTTTTTTCCTTTTTTTTTTTTTTTTTTTCCTTTTTTTCCTTTTTTTTTCCTTTTTTTCCTTTTCCTTTTTTCTTTTCTTTTTTTCTCTTTTCTCTTTTCTTTTTCTTTTTTCTTTTTCTTTCTTTTTTCCTTTTTCTCTTTTCTCTTTTTTCTCTTTTTTTCTTTTTTCTTCTTTTCTTCTTTTCTTCTTTTTTTCTTTTCTTCTTTTTTTCTTTTCTTTTGTAAAGGTCTTTGTGATTTTGTAGCTCTTGTCTGTAGGGATCTGATGAAGGATTGGTTTTATGACCTGAAAGATTTATTTGCTTGAAGACATTTTTTAATCATTAATCTGAAAAAAAACCTTTGTATAGAAATGATAGTTGAGATATTTCTGAATTATTTGAACTCCATGAATGACAACTATCCATTGGAAAGGTATGAATTCACTTCTTTTCCCCTCAGCTATGGGTTAATTAGAAAATTGTAAAATTCTTTCCAATGGATTTCTATAGTAAATTCCTTCCATTTTTTTTTGTAAAGCTCTTTGTTTTTTCATGGCTCTAGCTTGTACGGGTCTGATGACGGATTGTCTTCTTTAAGACATGAAGGATTCATTTTGCTTGAAACCATTTTTTAATCATTGATCTGAGAAAACGGTTGTATAGAAATGATAAGTTTCAACATTTCTGAATTTCTGTACAGTAAATGTTTGACATTCATTAACCAAACAGTGTTATGTTCATTTGAAATTTATAAAATCTTTCACAGGAGTTTTTCAGGAAAATAGGTTTCTCAAGTCCACTTATCAATCTTTCTAGTAATGATGGCAGTTTCCTTCCTAGCTTTTTGTTTGTGGTAGTGTGGAAAGTCAACATTTTGATTATATCATTATTTTCCTTTCAAGTTACACATGCTATTTTAGTTGTTGCTAAGTCTTCAAGTGATGTGGTTTCTGTTATTTGGTACAGTTCTAGCTGATAGTTTAGATATAAGTTAACCTAACTTGATTTTTTATTTATTTTTGTTTTTAGGTTGATGATTTTTTTTTTTTAGGTTGATGATTTTTTTTTTTTTAGGTTGATTTGGTTTAGGTTGATGATTGTTTGGTTTAGGTTGATGATTGTTTATTTTTTTAAAAGGTTGATGATTGTTTATTTTTTTAAAGGTTCATGATTGTTTATTTTTTTTAAAGGTTCATGATTGTTTATTTTTTTTAAAGGTTCATGATTGTTTATTTTTTTAAAGGGTCATGATTGTTTATTTTTTTAAAGGTTCATGATTGTTTATTTGTTTTTTTAAAGGTTCATGATTGTTTATTTGTTTTTTTAAAGGTTCATGATTGTTGTTTATTTGTTTTTTTAAAGGTTCATGATTGTTGTTTTTTTTTTTTTTTAAAGGTTCATGATTGTTGTTTTGTTTTTTTTTTAAAGGTTCATGATTGTTGTTTTTTTTTTTAAAGGTTCATGATTGTTGTTTTTTTTAAAAAAAGGTTCATGATTGTTTATTTAAAAAAAAAAAGGTTCATGATTGTTTATTTAAAAAAAAAGGTTCATGATTGTTTATTTAAAAAAAAAAGGTTCATGATTGTTTATCTTTTTAAAGGTTCATGATTGTTTATTTTTTTAAAAAGGTTGTTTATTTTTTAAAAAGGTTTATTTTTATTTTTAAAAGGTTGATGATTTTTTTTATTTTTAAAAGGTTGATGATGGTTTGTCTTTTTAGGTTGATGTTGGTTTATGTCTTAGGTTGATGATTGTTGTTAGAAATTTGGGATGTGGTACCAACCATCATGAAAGAACAAACTGGTACCACAAGAGAGTAGAATGAACCGCAATCAGTTCTGAACTGATGACCACCTTTACTATTGCTCAGCTTGAAATTTGCTGGATGGAGAGATTCAAATATGATCGAGCTGGAAGCAACTTCTTATAGGATTGGATCAAAATCAAAGATTATATAATATTGATCTAGATAATCATATAAAAGGAAAAAATGTCAATGAGCCTAATCCATAGGATAGAGAACTCTTGCTGTAATTAATTATCTGTCCTTATTGTTTCTAGGATACCTGATTATCTTTAAATAATTAATGCATTTGTTAATTATCTAACTAGGCTTAGTCAGTAGCAAATCATGTTTGTCATCAAAATCGGATGTAAAATTTTTACTTCATCTTCTATGTGAATGTAATTCTGAAAAGTAATGAACAGGATAAGGTGGGGGGTTTTATTAATATTTTATTTACTTCTTTTTAGAGTGCAATTTCTTTTTTTTTCTTTTATATGGGTCATTCCATGTTAATTCAACCAAAAATTTTGAAAAATGTAACTCTCAAAAATAGATGTTTTTCATTTTTTTTTTTTTTTTCCTGTAGATCTTATAGTCAAGAGAAAATCCTGGAAATTTTAACCGAAAATTTCTAACCATTCTCGAAATATCACAATTTGAAATTTTGCTGAATTATCATTTTCCATTGATGGATATTTGCATTTGCAAACTCAATGATCTCACAAAACCCCTTATATCTTCTGATCCATTAGACAGAAATTAACGAAATTTGATACCCTTATATAGTTTTAGTAAAGGAACCCAAGTATCTCTTTAGAATTTTACAGAGACTAACCGAAAAGTAGATAATAGCAGTTTTCTGGTGAAATGAAAATTTTAGGTGGCCAACCACACAGAAAAAATTGAGAAATATCATCTTAAAAGTAGCAAAAGATGGCACATTTGAAAACTAGAATATTTGAGGAATAAAACAAAGTACCTCTACTACTGATATCAATCAAATTTAAGTAACACACAAAAGAAAAAAAAAAAACAGTTACAAAACCAAACGAAAAGAGTTACAAAATCTGTTATTTTACCCTGTATTTAAGAATTCTACCAATTCTACTAGTTTTTTGGAAGAGTATTAACAAAGGATGGAAATTGGGACACTGAAATCCAAATATGAAATCCATTGGGATAACGAAAAGATGCCTTCCAAAAGCTAAGCAAAGTATTGAGAAATATAAAATTTTTTGTTAGAAACAAAGAAGAGAGTACTGAATTGTTATGTAATATAAGTCCTCTGTTTTGACAGTGGATACTAAATAATCTTACAGATGAAGAAGAGACTTGAGGCAACAGAAATGTGGTTCTACAGAAGGATGCTGAGAATATAATGGACCAAACATGGCAGTTTTAGAGAAAATGGAAACAAAAAGGATGCTTATTGATATAATGGAATATGCATACACCTTTGTTCCCCCTCAGTGGAATATGATTAGCTGGTGTCTGTCATAAATACCGACGGATGTGTAGGAGAGTCAACAGACTTAGTCTGAGAGCTAAGTCTATAACAAACACTCATTGGACTATGCCATTGATCTACACTTCTTACCTGCGACTATGACACGTACCAGTCGATTACTGCTACCATATTCTACTTGGTTATAGTAGCCAAAACCACTTAGCTACTTCGTTCAAATATATCCCTTTCTGGGGCATATCACTTATATTTAACATCAGAAAGAACGTTGAAATTTCTAGAGCGTATAATGAGGAAAGATGGCTTGGAAAGTTTGATACTCATAGGACATATTGAAGTCAAGAGGAACAGAGGAAAACAACACATGCCCTACCTAGCGAGGTAGTAAATGGGTGGTAAAAAAAGATTTTAGGGAAGAAAACAAAAAAGACAAAATTTATTAAGAGTTACAAAGGACAGGAAATAGTGGAGAGCCTTGATTGCCAATGTCCTGAAGGAATGTGTCATATAGATAAGAAGTTACATTGAAACCTCTTTTTTTTATTTATAAGACCTGTGCATAAAAAAAATCTAAGCAACTATTTAAGCAACTTAAGTACTAATGTAGACGAAGTGGGTATTATTAATTGTAAAATTCTAAATAATAAGACTGATTTGATTTTTTATGGCTTATCAACCCTTTACAGGTTATTTAAAGCCAGAAAATATTTTTAGAGTGTAAGAATTTTTTTGGTGATAGTAATGATTTACTGATACAAGCCCTAGTAATTAGTCCATAGCTGGTGGGAGTAGAACTGGATCCATATCTTTCCTAAGGATATTTTCTTGTAAGTGAATATAATGAACACATCTGGAATTTGAACACAGCTCTCTAATTTTGAATTCTGAGCTATTATCCATGACATCACTCGAACATCCAAGCTTACAGCCCCTGGTATTCCTAAGCAGGTACCCATTGAGATGCTGACCAGTCTCACTGTTGCTTATTTCAAAGTGATATGACTGTAAGCTAATTACAATAAGAGGAAGAGCAGGTTAAAATAATACAAGGCAAGATAATGTAATGCAAGGTAAAGCAAAGCAACTATAAGACAGTAGCAAAGTTAAAAGTTCACAAAACAGAACAGAAATAGTGTTCATATGCAAAAGGGATACAGTCAAGTGAGTATAGCGTTCTGACTTTAAGACAAGAAAGAAAAGAATGTCTGAGGAACACCGAGAATTGTCCATTTTTTTTGTTGGCGAGGAAGAAGTCCCAGCATGCATCTGTAGGATTTGTATGTAAATTTGGGGAGGGGAGGTTTTTAGTAGACATTCCCTGTAACCAACAACTAATTCTTGTACAAAAATCAAGTATCATGAGTATTGGTCAAAATCCTGTTCCTATAAAAAAACAAATTGTGTAGATTTTTATAAATATAAACTCACATGTCCATTAGGCAATCCTGAAATGATACAGCTTGGTGAGCCAGCGACATGTTGAAAGTGGTTGGGGGAGGGGATGCTTAACCAGATGTTGTCTTTTTTTCTTTTTTTTTTGTCTAAATCAGATATTAAGTGGACTGCTAAATCAGATTTTAAGTTTTGAATATATATATATATATATATATATATATATATATATATATATATGTAGATGTAAATAAACTGACCACATATTTGTGGATACCCATCAACTAGGGCGGCTAGAGCGTCTGTTTTTTATTTATTTATTTATTAAAAAGTATATTTGTTTATTTCCATCTGTCATCCTGAATATTTGAGAAATCTCCTTACAATAATATGCTTGGAGAGTGCATATTTTTTTAATAAGATTTCTCGAATATTCAGGACAACAGATAGAAATAAACAAATATACTGTTTAATAAGTAAATAAAAATATGAGTATCCACTAAAATAACCTTTAAACAAACGAAAAATATTTCAGATTAATAAATGAAAATTCATTCATATCTATATATATATATATATATATATATATATATATATATATAATAGCTGGGCACTTGTATTCAAGGATACCTGTCTACTAGGGTGGCTAGCCAATCCCTATTGCAGACGCTCGCTCAGGCACATTTGTGTTTGCTGAGCAGACATTAGTTACAGTTTCTGGGAAAGAGCATGTTATCTAGCGTGATCCAATTTACCAAGTTTCAAAAACATAAACTAAAAACTTCAAATTCAATTATAGAATTAAAGTGCCTAGTCCTGTTTCATTTTCAAATGAATTTTGGAATAACTTATTTTGAAATTTACTGAGTTTTATAAGCACATACATTCATAATATTAGTTTCTAAGAATACGGGGAAATCCAATCATTTTAACAAGGGGTGGTAGGGTATTCATTTTCATTGACAACTATTGTATCAAAATATGAGTTACTTTCAAAAAGAGGTTAAGTCAAGGTAGGGTGGGGGTGCCATAAAATTTCAAAATTAGTTATTCCAAAATTTGCTTGAAAATGAAACAGGACTAGGGACTTTAATTTAATACTGTAATTAAATTTGAAGTTTTTAGTTTCTGTTTTTGAAACATGGTAATTTCTGTGTAGTGATGGAACCATATTTTTAAGTAAGTAAATTTATAATATTTATGCTCTGTAGATTTACATTGAGCACTGTTTTGTAAAAAATAAAAATATTAATAACACCGGATTATATATCTTACTGTTTTTGTTTTCTCTTTATTATAATATATATATAATTATTTTTTCTTTTTTTTCTTTTTTTCTAAAGACTTACAGGATCTACTGTAAATTTCTCTTTTGTCTTTAAAGTGCACAACTTTGCTTTTCACATGTACCTATTTTGTTGGCACTGAATGAAGCCTTTAGACTTTTTACTGCATATAAAACTTGTATAAAAGTTTTAGAAACTAATGTTTTGGTGGGAAGGTGATTTCTGAATTATTCAGAAAATTAATGCCAATATTGATTTTAGATAAATGATACAGCTCATCTCAATAGCATTGTCATCGATTGAGGCCAAAGACGAATTCAGTATTCTTTTTTGTTCCCAGTTTCCACTCAGTGGATGCAAAATGTGGTTAATTTTAACATATTCAATGCCAAACAACGTTAAATAACGTCTCAATTAAGATTTTTTTTCCTATTTAACTTGTTAAATGCCAAACATTAATTATGAAAAATTCTTTTGTTCTTCACACACTGCTGTCTAATTCTTGCTTTCCGACATTGTTATTTAGTCTCTGGGGGGTTTGCCCATTGTTCTATTTTTGGCCTAATTTCTTCAGACAAAGGTGACTTATTTTTTTTATTTTTTCTGTCCTTTGCCCAATGAAATAAAGACTTTGCTTCCATCCCTCCCCATGCCACCTATAGATTCTAACCATGAATGAGGCTAAAAATTGGATGGGTCAAAATATCAATATCAAGAACATAAAGGATTTCGGGTTACAAATACATCATGTCGACCCCCACCCCCTTCCCGGACGATCACAGTAGTTAAGCAATGTTTATATTGGTCAGTACCGAGATGGGTGACCACTTGGGAATACCTGATGCTGTAAACTTGGATGTGTGAAGGGTGTAATAATTTTTACAATCTCTAAAAATATTTTCTATCTTTAAATAACCTGCAAAGGGTTGATATGCCATAGAAAATTGATCAGTCAGTCAGTGAAGTATTGATTGATTACACAGGCCTCTTTTTAGATTTATCTACATTCTCTGGAATATAAATATATAGAAACTATGGTGACCACAAAGTGAGGGATCAGTTTATATATTGATTGTAGTGTAGAATTGATCTCCCACTTTATATCCACATTATAAATTCTTGTTTGTTTATCAGATTCTGATTATGTATGATTTCACCTCTTCTCCCTCCAGCTATGGGTTAATTAGTAAGACATGTATTAGTAAATCTTTATCTCAAAAATTTTAAAATATTTTCTAACTTTAAATAATCTACAAAATGTTGATAAGCCGTAGAAAATTGACCAATCGATCAATGAAGTGTTGATTGTTTACACGGGCCTATTTTTAGATTTATTTACATATTACTGGAATATCAATGTATAGAAACTATCGTGGTCACAAAATGAGGGATTAGTTTATATATTGATTGAAATGTAGAATTGTTCCCCCATTTTATATCCACATAAGATTACTTGTTAGTTTATCAAATTATGATTGAGTATGAATCCACATCCTCCTCCCTGAGCTATGGGTTAATTAGTAAGACTTGTATCACTAAACCATTATTATCTCTTCCCACCCTCCAAAAATTCTTACAATCTAAAAATATTTTTGGGCTTTAAATAACCTGTAGAGGATTGATAAGTTGTAGAAAACAGATCACTCAATCAACAAAATACTGATTACTCCACAGGCATGTCTTTTAGATTTATTTACATTCTCTGGAATATAAATGTATTGAAACTACCGTGGCCACAAAGTGAAGGATCAGTTTATATATTGATTGTAATATAGAATTGATCCCCCATTTTATATCCACATAATTTCTGGCTTTAAATAACCTACAAAGGGTTGATTAGCAGTAAAAAACGAATCGATCAACCAATGAAATACTGATTAGCTACACAGGCATGTCTTTTAGATTTATTTACATTCTTCGGAATATGAATGTATTGAAACTATCCTGGCTACAAAGTGGGGATCAGTTTATGTATTGACTGTAATATAGAATTGATCCGCCATTATATCGACATTATAATTTCTTGTTTATCAAATTCTAATAGAGTATGAATCCATCTTTTCTTTGGATTTGGATCTTAATAGTAATATTTGAAAAAAAATAATCTGATAAACTTTCTCATACTTAGCAATGTCACATGAGAGAGCAGAGAGCTCAAGTATAGATGACCAAATCGACATCTTGCCCACCTCTTGCTTTCATATGCTAAAAAAAATGCCAAAGAAAATAATTCATTTTGCAGTTTTTTTGAATATATATATAAAAAGAAACATTGTGAATATGGCAATAAAGAGGAGGACAATAGTCCAAACAATGTAAATAGTGTAAATAGTTACAATACCTCATCTCAGAAATATAGACAGACCTTCGGAAATCTATGAATCTGCATCTTCTCTCCCAGCTATGGGTTAAATAGAACTTCTATCTGAAAATCATTATCTCCCAAAAATTGTTAATACAATATTCACTCATGAAAAAAAAAAAATATATATATATATATATATATATATATATATATATATATATATACACACACACACACACACACACACACTACAGTTCAAAAGTTTGAAGCCACCTCCAAGAATTAGCATGTAATGAACTTGACAGAAAAGTGAAAAAAAATGAAAAAGAAATCTGGGTCATTGAAAAAAGAATGGAATCTATTATCAAACTTTTTTGAGAAACCTTTGCAATGAATGCCAAAGATTTGTGCTGCTCAAGGCTAAAGGAGGATATTTTGACAAGAGCAAAATTTAATCATAAAATGCCTTTTTTAAAAATTTTCGTCATAATAAAATTTCTAATAAAAAAAAAATCATGTCTCACTTTTTTAACCATGTATAATAATTTTCTCTTATTTAGAGTATAAAACAACTACTTTTTGGACCAATTTAAAAATTACCAGTGTCCTCAAATTTTTTAACTGTTTGTGTATATATATATACACATACAGACACACATACATACTTATATATATATATATATATATATATATATAAGAAAAACAATTATTCTTACAAACCCTAAACATGTTTTGGCTGTAAATAACCTACTACATAAAACACAAATCAATCAATATAAAGATAACCCTTCGAAATGGTATTTGCCTCATTTTCAGGACAGAAAGAAATCCAAGGCACACAACAAAAATGTAATCACTGGAAATCATGTCATTAGGAAAATTTTTTTTTTTTTTTAAATTTTTTTTTATTTAGCATCTGATGTTACCATCACACTTTGATGTTAGTTAAATACCATCTGAAAATACAATGTAAATATTTCAGATCTTTCTGAAGGGGTGTGTGATATACCATGAGCTGAGGGGAAAACTAATTCTAATTTGATTCATTTTCTCCTGCCTCTCCTTAACTCCTTCAATTGCACCCCCATCCAATGCCATCTGTAATTCAGTCACTCCTTCCCTCTGCTACATATTGTATTATTCTGTTTCTCTTTCAACTCATCCCACTTCCTTTCACTGCTCTGGTTGTTCTTTCTTTTACCACCTCTCTTTCTGCCCCCTCCCACCATTTACCATGTTCCCCTGCCTGCTGCTCCCCCCCCCCAACCATTACCTTATGGCGTTCCTAGTTGTTGTTTACTCCAGGTCTGGAGTCAATCACATTTCAAGATATTTTAGGATTGCTTCTTGCTTGTTAACATATTTTAACTCTGCTTTTCATGTTTCCCATTTTAGGTTGGCATTGGTAAAAACTTTCGATATTTATCAAGAGCAATTATTAAATGCCAAAATTGTTCTCTTAATTCTAAGATCAGGAAATTCTGGAAAATTCTATGCTTTTGTTGTGGAGAGATTTTGGTAGAATTCTGTTGTAATATATGGAAAAAAGATATTCATTAAATTACATGAACTATTTATCGAAATCAAAATTATGTGTCAATTATAAATTTTTGAAAGCATTCCTTTATTCTTAATTTCAGTTGGTTTTCATCGCAGTAACTCAAAAGGAATAAATCAAAAGAATTAATATCATGAAAGAAATTCAGACAACTTAAGATTGCTACTTCAATATGCCATGGCCTTCAGGGTGTCAGAGACTATGGTTCACCACAAATTTCCATCCTTGTAGATCTTAGCAGTGTTTGCCTTTTAACTGCCCTCTTCCATCTATGTTTTACCATCCACCCACACAATCTTGTTAGGTAGGTAACTCAATGCTTTTTTCTGTGCCTCTTTCTATCAATGTGTTCAGAGAGTTAAATTTCCAAACCTTCTTTTCTCATTATGTGTAGGCTTGTCCCAGGTAACGCTAAAAAAGTGGTATACCCTGGAGAAAAAGGTCCCCAAATCGATAAAAAAATTTTTAATGTGTCAATGTTTATGTTAAAATTAAAGAGGGAAGACCAAAGTATTTTTTGAATATTTTTTTAGATTTTTAATCCTTCCTATAAATTTAAAAAATTTTTTTTAAAGAATTCGTTTTTCTTGAATAAAAAAAAACTAGTAAATTCGATTTATCGGCCATTTCTGGCCGAATTTGTAAACAAAAAATCAAAATTAGTTCAAAAATCAATTAAAATTCAATTACACCTTTTTTTTTTGTTATCTTAGGAAATTTAGAATGATTAAAGTATACTTAATGTAATTTGAAAGAAACATTACTTACTTTTTTTAGCAGAAAATTTTTAATAGAGATATTTCCAACCATGGTACTAAGCGGGGTGCGTGATTGAAGGGTGTTAATTGATGGGTGTCAATATATTGACAACTTACGTCAAGGAATTTATCATACGGTAGCGCAGAAGTGATGTAATTCGTTCTAATTTTAAGTGAACCTAGTGATTAAAAAAAAAAAAAAATAACTTTCAATTTTTTTTTTTTTAACCTTTTACGTTTGAAGAAAAAATTCTGCACTGAAAATAACATTTAAATTGTGAAAAAAAATCAAATTTTACAAGTAAAAATGAAACAGTAACAACATTTTTTTAAATTGAGTTATACATATTTTATTTAACAAAATTAATATTGAAATGCTATGCAATCGATTTCAAATTTTGCTTTGTTGTTAACTGAATGAATGCAAAGTAATTTCTGAAGTAAAAAAAAACTTTGCTTCTATCTAGGGAAACAACTCTACCTCACGTGACGTTATTTCAAAGTTGTGCATCCATACTTTTCGTTGGAGATGATTTTAAATACAATTTTGGAATATTAAAAATTATTTTAAAAATATTCACGGTTGTCAGATTTTAATAAGCTTTCAAATTTATGATCTATAAGAAGTAGAGAACATAATATGTCATTTCCATAAGGCTTTAAAAAAGAAACTTAATTTTAAAAATATATAACAACATTTTGTCATGTGTATTTAAAATAGAAAAAAAAAAGAAAAAATTATTGTAAAAAAATTCATTTTCATCAAATTTTTTTTTTTTCAGATAAAATTACCTTAGTATATGTTATTCAGAAAAGTCATAAAAGTTTTTTAAATTAAATATTGTCTCGGTTTTATTGGGTTTTGTATTTGTACAATTGAGTTAAAAGTTTGGACAATTTTGCGCATTTTTTTACCAAAAAAATTGATGATTTAGAATCTTCAGAGTCTTGTGCATTTAATTGAAAAAAAAATATCATAAAATTAAGTTCGAGGGGTGTAACAGATATAAAAAAAAACTATTTATATCATGACTTTCAAAAAGACAAACATTTCTAAAATAATTTCATTCATTTGTGAATAAGTTCTGAAAGTTTCATTAAAATCCAACAAGTACTTGATTTTTGCAAGATTTTCCAAATCAATGTGTTTTTTGCAACTGAAAACAGTGAAAAACAAGTAATGTTAATATGACCTAATTTTTGACCTAAAAAAAAACAAGATTTTCAACCTAAATTTAAAAAATGCTGCAAATGAAAAAAAAATTTTTAAAAATAATTAAAAAATACCTTGGTCTTCCCTCTTTAATTTTAACATAAACATTTACACCTTACATTTTTTTCTTTCAATTTGGGGACCTTTTTTCTCCAGGGTATACCACTTCTTTAGCGTCACCTGGGACAAGCCTAATTATGTGTTCTTAAAATTCAAACTCTTTCTCATCCTAAGTAAAAGGGCACCATTGTGAATCCATTTTTTTTACCTCATCATTCATTTTAAGACTATTACTACTTGGTGGAAAAGCAAGAGAAATAAGATGAAAGAAATACTAGTGAAAAATGAATAATAATTGCCAAGGCTTCATCTAAGAAATTCAGACAAATTAAGACTATTACTACTTGGTGGAAAAGCAAGAGAAATAAGATGAAAGAAATACTAGACAAAAATGAATAATAATTGCCAAGGCTTCATCTAAGAAATTCAGATAACTTAAGACTATTACTACTTGGTGGAAAAGCAAAGAGAAATAAGATGAAAGAAATACTAGACAAAAATGAATAATAATTGCCAAGGCTTCATCTAAGAAATTCAGATACCTTAAGACTATTACTACTTGGTGGAAAAGCAAGAGAAATAAGATGAAAGAAATACTAGACAAAAATGAATAATAATTGCCAAGGCTTCATCTAAGAAATTCAGATACCTTAAGACTATTACTACTTGGTGGAAAAGCAAGAGAAATAAGATGAAAGAAATACTAGACAAAAATGAATAATAATTGCCAAGGCTTCATCTAAGAAATTCAGACAACTTAAGACTATTACTACTTGGTGGAAAAGCAAGAGAAATAAGATGAAAGAAATACTAGTGAAAAATGAATAATAATTGCCAAGGCTTCATCTAAGAAATTCAGACAACTTAAGACTATTACTACTTGGTGGAAAAGCAAAGAGAAATAAGATGAAAGAAATACTAGTGAAAAATGAATAATAATTGCCAAGGCTTCATCTAAGAAATTCAGACAATTTAAGACTATTACGACTTGGTGGAAAAGCAAGAGAAATAAAATGATTAAAATACTACTCAATAATTAATAATTGACAAGACTTCATCTATTATTAAAACTCAACCTGAACAAAATTTATGATTGTGTATGAAGGAACTGATACTTTAGTTGTTTTGGGCAGAGGATTTCATTTCTATTTTTGCTTGAAAATAAAGTAAGCAAGTACATGATTGCTTAGTATGAGCAGCTGCCATTGATAGATTGAATTAGTCTGTTTATTTTGATTATATGTAGGTGTGCCAGGTATTTGGGAACACATCTTTAGTTGGCTATTTCTAGAAAATGACCTGACATAATGTTATGTAGCATGCTGTTGTATTCCTGGTAAGATTAATATGCTGTGCGTATGTGTGTGTGTGAAAGGGTGGGTAAAAGGTAGTGAATGTAAGATTTTTTTTTTTATTCTTTTTATTTTTATGCTTCATCTTGCATATTTATACAACTGTAAGAAATAATTTTAAAAAATATTGTTAGTAACACTTTATTAAATAAAATGTGTGCGGAATGTAGTGGTTATTAGCATGGAAAGTGAAATTTATATACTGAGTCAAATTCTAGCTGATTTCATCATATTTTAGCTTCGCAGAAGAAACACATTCATAACTTTCCCAAAAGATATGTTTTTTCTCCCCACTATTATGGGTTAAATATCAGTGCAGACTGGGCTTGCTCTGAAAACTTACTTACCATGAAAACCACAGCCGCAACACCTAAATGAGGCTGTAACCTTATACTCCACTAGGAGTCAACAGTGGGTGTATGGCTAGCAACTCAACCCATAAAAATTGACTTGCTATAAAAAGCACAGCAGTAACACCTGGTGTAGTATGGCTGTGCCCCTAGTGTAGTGAAGCTGTAGTCCTATATCCCACTAGGAGTCTAATGGTCCAATGAAGGAGGAAATAAAATGCAACCAAATCAATTTCATGGGAATAACTAAGCTCTTAAAATGTATATACATTTGTAGTTTTTATTTATTTTTAGTTGTGTGTGTGTGTGTATATATATATATATATATATATATATATATATATATATATATAATGTCATCATGCTATTCCTGGCCTGAGGAGGACATGTGTATACAACAGAAATCAGAGGAATTAATGACAATGATGATTATCAACAGCAGCCAGCTTCGGTAGAGAAAAAAAGTCATTGTGAACTTCATGATCTATGCTTAGAGTGCCAGTTTGCTCTGCTATTTAACTCAAAACTTTGGGAGAAGAAATGGGTTTACTTTTCCTAAAGATATTTGCTCTAAATTGTATGCAATAAAGTTGAGTTTATTGCAGAATATTTTTGGAAATCTTAAATTATTGAATATATATGAACTACACTTTTTATTACAAGCATATAAAAGTAGGTAGGTCAACATAACAACCAAACGCACATCTTGTCCCAGTAGAATTTCCAATGGCAGCCATGCACCAAATTTTAATATTGTTTCTTGTACAAATGTATCAAGGGCATTAACATAGCAATTTTGAATTTAATACAGGATATACAGCAATTTGTTGATAGTAGCGATTATAGTTTGTGAACTCCTTGATATTGTTGATGTCTGCATAATATATGCTACACCTAGGCTAAATATTAAATTCACAGTTGTTCTTTTCCTAGACTAGTTGACAACCATGCTAGATATTAAATTTTTTTTTTTTTTTTTTTTTGTAAATGAAAACACT